GGAGTTCGGCGGGAATGGGCTTGCCAGGGGCCGTGTGCCCGTGCGTCTCCCGGGGAGGTGCGGGGCTCTGTGATCCCTGCTAACGGGAACGTGCGCGGGGGTCTTTCCCGGGGGAATGAAGGCAGCGGGCGTCAGTGTGGGTGTACGCACGCGTGCAAATCGGGGAGGACGGAGGGCCCGTCTGCGGAAAGGCAAGTGTGCTCTTCTGCATGTCGGGGGTGTGTTGGCGGACTGGCCGTGCACACGTGGATTAACAGGCCTGTAGAGGAAATGACGCTGCACACGGCTGTGCGCGCACATGCATGTGGCATGGCAGAAGGGTTTTTCCATGTGAGGGTGAGCGCTGGTGTATCTTGGGGGTGTACAGCAGGAACCATACTTTGCAGGTGGGGAAGAAAGGATGCACAGAAACGCAGATGCTGCACTTCGGTAGTAAATGTATCTATATACTTCACAGGTATGGAGGGGGTGATCCCCCATACTAATAAGGATGGGGACAATGAAGAGGTTGATCCCATTCATAGGGGGAAACGGTGGGAAGTGTTTCTTTGCCTCAGCATGGGGTAATACATGCACAGGTTGATACAAGAAGCAAATCTGCGCGGTGATAGAATGCTTTTTGCACTCACACAGATGTATTCAAGGGGGTTGTTGAAAGACTTGATTTTGTATATTGTCACTTGCATAAGGGGTGCAGGAACAGGCCCCGGATGTGGCTGCATACAGGAGCAATGGCTCCATGGGTAAGGAGGGGTGGCACGTATACGCGTACTAGTACGTGGTGTGGGAAGAGTTTGGGGCAGATTAACCCATCTGCATACAACACAGTGAAGCAAGTGGGAAGACTGTATGGCTCCACAAGCGCACAGGCATATGCAGACTGTAGAGATTTTACAAGAGGAATATTCCAGGTTCTTTGGTTTTAAAAATCATCGCTTTAGAAATATGAATGTAGAATATACAGGTGGTATCATTTGTTTGTGAAGCACTGATAAAGGGGTGTCTCATGCCCCTGAGACTGCTAACAGAAATAGCAGCTGCTTGGTTCCTGTAAAATCTGACCCAGAATTCCCCAATCTTAAAAAGTCCTTGAACCTCCAATAGTGTAAAAGCCTTAAGATGGGATATGGAAGAGCAGTAGATCAAAACAACCAGAGATGCATTATTTCAAGTACTCGTTCATGGAGCACTGTTTTATTTCTTCTCCTTTCTGCTGAAGATTACTAGTCCCAGCAAGGTAGAAGAGGTAGACCTTGGAACAGGAAGATCCCAGACTAGCAAGGCTGTGTAGATCAAACTTAGTATGTCATCAGACACCTAGAAACTAAGAGGCATCTGTTAGTGATCAATTATTTAAAAGAATTTCAGTGGACAGTTCTGAAAACAGATGATTAGCCTGCAAAACCTGTTAATGAATTCTAAAATCGTAGTGGAAAGATGTGTGATCTAGAGATTCAATTTTGGTAGATCTGTAATTTTGATGAACCATGAGATTTTATTTTTTTTTTACAATTTACAGATTTACTATTTTAGGAGATGGTATTTTCTGGATTTGGATTGAAGGGTTCTAGAATTGTAGACACTGCTTGAAGATCAAGAAGGACAGAAAACTATTCTGCTTCTTAAAAGTCTGCTTCGCAGAAAAGAAACTACAGAGGGGAAGTGATGGTTCTAGCTCAGGCAGGTAGCTTGGAGTAAGCAAACTTTGGGTAAGCTCACTTTGTCACTTCCTTATTCTGTGGCCTTTTACTTTGGCTTCTCAGATTATATAGTGTATGTATACAGCAGTGGCTGGCTTGGAGAGTCTTGTGAGAGGTTTGTTTCTAATTATACTGATATTATTCATGCAGGTTATAGGGATGTCAGAAGTGGTCTTCACATCTTGAACATGACTTTTTTTTTCAATTAGTGGCTGTTTTACATATGCAATGACAGGATGTCCTGCTCGGAACCATCTCCAAAAAGAGGTTGTTTTAGAAATAAGAAAGCAGTGGTTCTGTTAGATCTGAGTCTAGCTAATGTGGTTTCAGGTTTCACTCAGTGATAGAGAGTAACATGCTGTCTGACCTACCTTTATAGAGCATCTCAAATCCTGCAAAGTACTCTCTTTACATTTTCAACATGAGGTACTGAATTTCTTATATACATTTAAAATATTACAAGCCTGTTGGACAAAAAGAAAGACAAGATTAAATTAAAACAGCCATCATATGTGCACATAACTACAGATGTTTTCAGCATGAGGAAATAAATATTTTGCCTGAAGGATTATTATCAGACCCTTTGAAAGTGTGTAACAGTAATTAATTAACATACTACTTTTGAAGTAAGGTTCAAATGTAAATTCAAATGAACCCTAACATTACTATTATACCAAAACATTGTTTCATTATGTGTGATAAAACCTAAACTAATCTATGTTAAAAATAGGGAAATCTTTATAAAGTTGCTGAATTTTTTTAAGTTTCGTAGGAGTGGGATGTCACAATAGCCTCTCTTTTAGAAAAATAACTGAAAAAAACAAATGTAATATAAAGGAGCATGAAATTGGATGTCAATATTGTCATGCTTGTATAGCAGCTGCTCAGAAAGAGCTTCCCTAGCTGTCAAAACCAGTAGACAGATTGATACTGCTCTATCAGAGTCAGAGATGAGTAGTCCTTGTGCATTAATCTGGAAAAAGTTTACTTGCCATTAAACTGGAGTAAAAATTTGAGGTAATATTAGATTTCATACTGAAAGGATACTTACTTAAAATACAGTTGTTTTCGGAAGGAGAACAACAAAAGAACTTAATAAATAGCTGGTTTGATAACCCTGTGCTACCAACTTAGTAGTTTGTTTGGGGGGAGAGGGAATTTGCGTTACTTTGGGGGAGTTATTGCTGTATCCTTTTTTAATAGGCTCTTCTTTTTTCCTAAAATGTTTTTTTCCAATTGCTAAATGAAAAAACAAAACAAAACACCACAATAAAAACAGCAAGGCAAAATGGTGGAGGGTAGGTAAACATTAAAAATTTTTACATAGTTTAATCAGCTACTAAACAAGCTGTAAAACTGGATTGAAGAAAACATCTTGTAACAGTAACTATTGATGTTCCTTGCAAACAAACAGTTTCTGTGGCATTTCTATTGTCAGAAAACCTCTTTTTTTCAATAGGCTGCAAGTTGCCTGATGGTAATCATGATGCTTATTTATCTACTTGTCTCCAAAAGTTGTTGTCTTATTGTAACGTAATATTGTAGTATTGAATACCTTTATGTACTTTGGCCTGCAAAACAGTATGGTAGGACTTCAAAGTCAATGTTTAATTCACTTTACCTCACCAAAGTGTGTTTAACAGATACATAAACTGACTTGGGCAAAAACTTTCTCTCTTTGATCATACAGTCTGTCAGTAGATGTATCTTTTAGCAGTTTGTTCCGTGCTGTTGCTTTCTTTCATGTACCAAAGCATCAATAATTTTTTCACTTTTACAGAAGTTTCTATCTGAACAGCAAAAAGTAATTTTACTGTTTAATTACAGTTGAACTTCATAATACTTAAATATTGGTTATATAGAATTGTTACATAGAATTTTTATGTAGTATTTAGAGAAACAGAGGTATTAAGTTAGTTTTAACTGAAAAAAAAAAAAAAGAATCTGCCCTTTTTAAAAATCCTCTAATGGTAGCTACTGTAAGCCATCAGTTGTCTGTTATCAATGGATGAATTAGTATGTGTCCACAGTTCTGGACTCCACTTGTGTATGCTGTTCACAAAGTATGCCATTTACTTGATATAAAGGTTATTATTAAAGCTGCTTCTTTTTTTTTTTCCCCCTATTATTTCAGGAAGTGTATTTCAAGAATCTCTCAAAACAGAAACAAAAGGAAGTCATGGAGAAGAATGAAAACAACCACAAACTTCGTGTTTGTGTTGCTACTTGCAACCGTGCTGATTATTCAAAATTAGCTCCTATTATGTTTGGTATTAAAGCAGAACCACAGTTCTTTGAGCTTGATGTCGTAGTGCTTGGTTCCCACCTGATTGATGATTATGGGTAAGGTGGATTTTTGTATTTCTGCCAATCTGTTTCTGGGATGTTAGGGATAACATCATAAACATTAGGTAACAAAATACTTGTCATGATGAATGTACACAAGAAAATTTTAAATTTGTTTTTTCAGATTTTATTTCATTTCGCTGCTTCTTCTGAGATTGCATATTTCTGGGTTTTTTTCAACCAATCTTGGCATTTTAGAAAGTTTTGTGTAAATGCTGTAACAGATCTTCAGCA